CTGGATGCTCACTTCTAGCACAGAAGCAAATCACCTGATAGCAAATTAAAAATGTGTAAGAAATGAAGATAATAGCCTACAGAGAGCTGCGGTAACAAAGCTGTTTCTAAAGGGAAGGGGAAAATCCCTTCATTTTCCAATGGAAAAGAGCTTGGTAAATAGATGAGGCAAGTTTAATTTTGGAAGTTGCAGAGAGTGCTGCTCATGTTAGGACTAGCCTTTTCTAGCAAGTCAACAGAAACAAAAAGGTCAAAGGAGTATGGGGAGGTTGACATGCTGGGGAAATGGTAAAGCCCTGGGAAGTGCAGCACGCACTCCAGAGGGGTGTGGGTACAGCCTTGCTGGCCATTTTTGTTACTGGTTATACCATGCCTATCTACCCTCCACTGAATTGTTTCCCAGTTGGGTGTATAACCCTGAGTTAAATGAACTTCTGCTGTGGGACTAGGATCGTTTGAAAGCTGCTTGCACTTTCTTGGGACATAATGGAGAGCTCTGGGGTTTTGGACACCAAGTTAGCAGAAAGAAGCCTTCTGTTACTTTCTTCTCATACAGCAGCACTGGGGCTTAGCCTACGGATGAATCAAGGCTGCCAGTTCACTCACCCAGAAATACTTTTTCAGCAAGTAGCAGCTATCTCAAACATTTCACTGTCATCTTTGTATTTCTTTGCCTTTTAATAACGATAACTTAGCAATCTAATTTCATGGTTTTACATTGTGTTCTCCATACAATATCACCTTGCAGATAGTAAGGCAGTAATCTATCTTCTTGGAAATATTTTTCACTGTTGAAAGGCATACAAAGCTTAAACAAAAACTTTTTGTGGGTTTGCATTTTTTGTGTGTGTTTTATTTTGTTTTGTTTTTTTTTTCCTTTCTCTTCCTCTCCTTTTGTAACTACAAAGTTCTGAGAAAAGAGTTATTAAACCTGGACTCTGTGGTAAATGAGAGCTTGGAGGGGGAGAAAGCAAAGGCTACTGTGGCTGAGCTGAAGGACAGAGAGCATACTCCTTCACAAGTCAAGGATCTAAATCTAGGCTATTCCGTTCCCCAGAGCCACTCGTGATGATTATGTTCTGTGGTTGATTTATTTATAACTGTAGCAGTTGCAGTGGGAACAAAACATTAGGCCAAATTCTGACCTCAGAATAGAATAAATAGAATAGAATCATTTCACTCCAATTTTTAAAATTTTCATGGCATTACTTTGGATTCATTCTAGTGTGACTGAAATCGGTCTGTATTGTTTTGCTGTATTAGGTTAATTTTTTTCCTTGAGACTGCATTTCTCCCATCCTTTTGTCTAATTTTGAACACATAGAGCAGCAGAGTGTCTGTATGCTCATCTGTACCTTGAAGCTGGTACTTGACTGGACTGTGAGCCTCCTCCGGGCTGCAGGGACAGACTGGCTGGCAGGCTCTCCAAGGCTGAGGAGTCCAGCTCATTGCATGGCTACCATTTGCTTCCAGTGGTACAAGGAGGCACTTTTTAACTATTTAGGACACTGTGTCAGTTTGTAAACCAGTTTTACAGGAAGGCAAGAGAAGTGAGAGAGTCATTATGGATTCTGCTGGACCCAGGTGATAAATCTGTGATAGCAGCAATGTTTCACTGGTTATTTAAGAGTAAATGAAACAGAGATAGCTTTGCAAAACTGGTGAAGTTCCGGAATGGCAAAAGAAACTCTACAGCCTGTCTGAAAATTTGATGCACGTGAGGAGCAGTGGGAACACTGTAAGTTTATTATGCACCCTAGGCTGTTCTGCACTGGCTATATTTTTTTTTTCTGTGTTTATTTACATGTCCACAAATTGACTGCCTAGCACATAAAAAAAAAAGCTGTAAGATGAAAATCCTCACTAACAGCAGAAACGGTGCTTTATGGCCTTTGCACTTACTACCTGTAACTGGTAAGTGGGAACATGGGCTGCAAAGAAGTTAAAGGATTTGTCAGCTTGTTTTATTCAGCTTGTTTCTGCCAGTTAATACAGAAGAGTGAGTTTCTTCATTATGGTAACATTCTTCTGTTACAATCATATGTCAGCCCATAGAAGATAAAACTAATTATTCTCCATTTTGGGGCTTGCCTGTTCTGGATCAGAAAATAGGGTGCCTTCAAGAATTCATCTCTCAGTACAGGGAACTTCAGTATCTGTGATTCTGTGATCCAGTGAACCAGCTTGCAGTGACAAGTGCCAGCTATTGCCCTTCCCCCTTTTTAAGACTTAATATTTTGTTGAGTATATTTTTAAAATTCTGGTTTGGGTAGCTTTTACAAAAATGTAAAGCAGGCTGCTGCTGTAATCATTCCTGAATTTAGCCATACTCTGACAGCCAAAATGCAATCCCCCTGGTTAATAAGCAGCTAACTGGGTCTTTTGTTATGTTTTTTGATAGTTTGTAATAATTTTGCCCTTGGAAATAACAATCATTTGTTATACTTCAGGTGTCTGGCTAATCAAGTGGAGTTTTGACATCTGTACATATTATCATTTCTGTAGCTTAGTGTTGCCTCAGTTCAAAGCCTGGTCATTTAGGCCTCCCCCTCTGTGACCTTCAATATTAGCCATAGCATTGAGATGAATGGATACGACAACCAAAAGCAAACATTTCTTAAGGAGATAAAGTAGTTGTGCTTTGATAGATACAGCTATTTCTCTGGTGCCCGTTTTGTGTATCAGGAGTAAGCAGGGCTGCACTGCATCTCTAAAGCTGCTTGAAATTGTATCAAAAAGATTTGCCTCCCCTAAATCCTTTACAAGCCAAAAAAAGCCAAGACACTTCCCCACATTATCTGCACCTCAGCGATGGCAAATATAGAGGCAGTTCAGGGACACACGGAGCAGGACACTTGTACGTGCTGATGTGCTTCCCCACTGTCGTGCTCAGAGACATAGTGGTGTTCACATCCACAGTGGGTGTACCCTGGTACCTCCCTGGCCAAGGAGTCTAAAGCAAGGCACGTGTTTCTCTTGATGGGACCCAGACTGGTTACAGACACAGCTGAGCATTTACGTAATCTGTAATCAAATATATGGTTATAGTGTGGAAATTCTCACTGTGTGTCCTCATGTCCCCCTCAGTGAAACTGGGCAATTTGTCCATTAATACACTGCTCTTATCAGTCTGAGCAGTATTTAACAGGAAACTAAAATATGACAACTAGAAACCTTGGAAGAGTGTCAATTTAATATGTCCATCTTCTTTCTGCAAATAATAATTTTTTTTCTTGTTGAGAGCATGAGCTGAGCTTTCAGGGAGTACGGGACTGGTTAACTATGACCTTTTTTTGGGTTTTTTGTGTGTTTTTTTTTTTTTTAAGAAGCAGTAACTACAGTTATGTAGTTTAATTCTGACTAAAAAATGAACTATAACTAAAAAATCAAGAGGATGTGCAACCAAGCAAAGGAGCAGCAGAGTTTGAAGCACGGCACTAAAGTCGTCACGTCTGAGGCACAATCACAGAAGGAAATGTGGGTATTTGGGGCAGGTTAGTGGTAGATAGTGCCGTGCAAGATCAGTCTTTGGTGAAGGGTGGTTTTGAAGGAATTATTGGTGCCACATTGTGGATGCCTGGCTGTTTACTTCCAAGTGTTGCTTTTGCTGCTGCATTGGAGTCTCCAGCTGCAAAGTGATGTAACTTCTAAGGTATTTTGGATGAGCTGTTTCTGTATCTCTTCAAGAGTTTTTCTACTAAAAGAGCAATTAGATTGGTGCACACAATTGGGAGGAAGGTGAAAGCAAAGGGGTCTGTCCTTCAGTCAGTTATTTCAAGTCTGATATTAAATTTGATGCTGTGAAATGCCACTGTTGAATAAAGTGAGCAGGAGAGTGTCTGTTCCTTCTAGGATGACCTCTGTACCAGTATGGAGAAGAGCCATCTCAGGATATAAAGCCATTGGTGCTAATGGGACAATGTGCACTGCAGTGAAAATTACATTTATGAAAATTAAAATTCTGGGTGTTCCTCCATGAAATTGTTCAGGGAAAAAAGACCAGTACCTGTGGTTCTTGATCCATTAAAGTTGCTTAAGTATTTGGTTATCTTTGGTGCTAGCGGTCCGATAAAAGGATGCATTAAGTGATCTTCTGGATTGAAAAGGAGGTGTAGGAAGTCATAGCCCAGTGTGCAGTTACAAACTCAGACTTTACTCCAAAGCTATTGTCTTCGGAGGGTGACAGGATGGTGTCGTGGTTTTGACCAAATTGACCAACTAGAACGACAGATGGCCCCTCCCCTCCTCCCCCCAAGGAAAAGAGAGGAGAGGAAGAGGGGGATAAAAAAAACTATGAGTTTAGAAAAAGACTAAACTACTTTAATAAAAATATAAATAAATAATGAAATAAGAAAAAAAAGGAAAGAGAAAAAAAAGTAAAATAAAATACAAATGTATACAGTATATACAGAACCGTATCAAGCTCCCAGGATGACGATCACGTCTCCGGCCGGCGCAGGGGAAAGTCCCAGGCCGGACTCGGTGATTGACAGGAGCCAGATTCCAGATCTGGAGTCAGGAATGCTCGGATCGGGATCAAAGGCAGAGGAACAGACAGGGTCCTCCTCGGACGTCGGCCATTGAAGGAAGAGAGTTGACCCTTTGATCCCTCAGCTTTTATACTGAGCATGGTGCAGATGGGATGGAATACCCTGTTGGTCAGTTTTGGGTCACCTGTCCTCTCCGTTCCTCCCCACAGGTGTGACCCCTCTACGCTTTTCCACTTCCGACCCTCCAACGGGGCAAATAAAAAATGTACCTGACCTTGGTTGTTATAGCAATAAGTATAAGCAGGGGCCTCTCTGCTCACCATTCCTTGCTATAATCAGGTCTTATCACTGTGAGAGTGAACAGTTTCTGAACAATATGCTGTTAATTTCAGAGTTTAGTTAGTCAGAAGAGGCCTAGCTCAAAAAGTAAAATTACTAAACAGAAAATTAGTTCTGTTTTACCTCAAACCAGGACAGATGGTTATGACAACTCTGCTTTCTCTATTCACAGGTGTTCCCTTTCCAAAGAACTTCCTTCAGATCTGCAAGAAGATACTCTGCCGCCTTTTTCGAGTGTTTGTTCATGTCTACATTCATCACTTTGACCGTATCATCCTCATGGGTGCTGAGGCCCATGTCAATACCTGTTACAAGCATTTTTATTACTTTGTGACAGAGCTCAACCTCATAGACCGCAAGGAATTAGAGCCTTTGGTAAGTGTGGGGTCTGGGGGAGAGCTGTAGGAAATTTTCCTCTTCCTTTCACAGAGCCTTTCTCACTTGTTGCAGTGTGTTTCCTCTGGAAATAAAGTTCCATTGGTGAACACAATTTAACGGATAAACTCTTGCCTCTGTCCAGAGAACCATTCCATCTGCTGCAGTATTTGTGAGACACTAGTAGAAAGAGAAAAGTGCCATGTATTTTATATGGAAAAATACAAGGTGGGAAATACTGCCATTTGAAAATAGAGGTTCAGTTGTCTTCTGCTTCTCCTGCACTATGCATTTTATATATAATTTTATTCTATCTTTTTTCATTGGTCAGTAACAGCATGGTACTCATAGTAATCACTTGAATGCATGTGAAAGAAACAGTGCTCTATATAAACATGAATTGTTTTGTGGTTTTTTTTTTAATCTTTAAGTAGGTGTTTGTGAAGGTCTTGAGTGTGTTAGATCCAGAGCACACTCTGGATCTCAGTGAAACTGATGAGGTGAGACAGAGGTTTCAGACAATTAACAGCATAACAAAACCAGACACTTCCTTTTGGACTGAAATAGATCAAAATTGAATTCATTGTTTCCAAAAGTAAAGCTCTAGAAATGGAAACGCTTTTGCTCTTGCTTGCAAATGCAAATAAAATAAAAGTCTAAGCAGAGAAGGAAAAGTAAGGCACAATTCAGAAAGTGGTTTATGCACAAACCTTCACTGTGGGCTTTTAGCCAGCTTTAAAAGGGCTCATGGCAACATTTCTCCATGGGTCAGAGTTTGGAAAATACTGTGTTGTATGGCTTATTGATGAAGTGCTAGAACGACTGGGATATTTTTTTCCACAGAATCACAGAACAGCTGATGTTGGCTGGCATCTATGGATACCATGTTGTCCAAATGCTCACCTGGACAGGGCTGCCCAGGACAGTGTCAAGTTTTCAGTTGTTCCACATAAAGGCACATTGCAAGGAGGTGTCTAGCTTAGTTGGTATGAAATGCTTCTGAAAGACACAAAATGGATGGTCTTGTTTTCAGCAGTTCCTAAGTCTCTTGAAAGACTGTGTATGGCCTGTATTGGTAACTTGCCATGTATCTGTAGTATCTTTTTAGATAGGAAAACTTAATATGCCCTCTAAATTTGTCCTAAGGGGTCGAAGGAGGCCCTGCAAAAGAGAACTTCACTGCCAGACTAGGGATCCTAAGTTAGCTCTAGCTGTTAATTGTTGAGGATGTGTCACAAGTGAAATACAAGGCAGGATATCTCAGAGAGAGTCTGTCTTAAGGCTGTTATAAGATCCTTGCTTGGACAGAGAGGACAAAAATGATTTAATGCTGCAGTTGGTGATTAGCGATATTCCTGCACTAAGCAGACAGACGAAGGATTGGGGCCAGAGTGGTGCAGGAGGTGGCCCAAGTCCAGCAGCAGAGCAAGCTAGAACGTGCTCCAACTGGTGCCTGCTTTACCCTTGAGTTCCAGCATTCTCTCCCTTCACAAAATTATCCTTAGGATCATCATATGATGCAGTCTTATTAACTTTGCTGGGCTGCAGGGTTTCCCAGAAAAACGTTTCACCTGCACTGAGGAGGCAGTATGTCAGCAAACTGACAAGGCTCAACCTACTTCCATCTTTCTGTCCTTGACTTGGGTGGGTGTCAGCCATGTGGAAATGCAAAAAAACCCACCCCATACATCTGTATTTTTCTCTTCAGCTGGGCAGAGAGGTGGGAAGGAATTGCCAAACAAAAGCAGACATTACAAATAATCTTGAATTTTAATGCAGTATTTGAAGACAACCTGTACCCTGCCAGGTTCACTATGGCAGGAAATGAGCCTACATTATCTCCCTTAATTAGAAAATGGGCTAAGAACTGATTAAATAAACAGACTTCCACATGCTTTAATAAACAGCAAGGCAGCTGATTTATCAACAGAACTTCAATAAGGGAGAAAAATTGGGGAATCGGGCAGTAGATAAATAGTAATATTAGCCTGCAGGACTTAACGCTCTTTGTTTAAAATAGATTTTATCAGCTTTTTGCAACTCAGTACAGCAGTTATCAAATGAAGCGAGTCAGATAGGGTTCCCCCTCCCGTTTGGGAGTTGCATAACTTGTCCTTTCTGCAGTCAAAGAGAGGGCTATAGTTTGAAATGCTGCTTATCTTATTACCATCCCCATCACTATGTTAAATCGACAGATTCCACAGTCTTTCAGAGAGCAGCTTTATGTGGGGACAAAAAAGGAAGCTGGCACAGTTGCTGACCCCACAAATGGTCTGAGGAAAAAAGTGCATGTCCAATTGTTTAACTTGAGGAAAAAGAAGAAGTCTGAAAGTATATCTGCTCTTTCCTGCAGCTAAGAGCCAGACAAGGCAGTCTGCACCATGAGAGGTCTCAGAAGACCTTTAAGGCATGTCTCCATGGGGAGGTTATCAGGAAATAAACTAAGGTTCACATTTTAAGATGTGGCATCTGCTTTGTGCTGTCTCCCTGTGTGACCTGCTTTATTTTTCACTGGCAATAATGCACCTTAATTCACTTCTGAGCCTCTTCTCACAGCAAAAACTGTCTAGTGGAGTGGTGCCTATTACCTCCATCCCACCCTCACCCTGTGTAGGTGACTGCTTGTATAGGGTTCTTTAAACACTAAAAGTGCTTTTTAGTGAGAATCTTAATGCAGCTAACTCAGCACACTGACTAACTGTTTAATTGGCAGCCCAGCTAAAGCAAGTAATGCCCCTCTACTTCCTTCCTGTGATCCCTTTTCTCAAGCAATGGATTTCATAGTATGTAGGACTTAAGAAATACGCCAGAGTACTTTATAAGCACATCATGAGCAAAACAGTTTGGTTTGGGAATTTTGCTTAATTTATTGCCAATTAAAAAGCTTTTGCTTTCAGATATGGGTACTGAGGAAAAAAAGACAATTAAATAAAACAGTTTGTGAAGAAACACCTTTCTTCCCCAGGATCTAACTCAGAAAAAAATCTTCTCTTCCCCCCTTCCAGGTATCAACTCACCTTGTTTTTGCTACGTATTACAGTAGCAAAAGTACAGTACCTTTGGAGAGGAGAGGGGCAATGCAGGAGACCACATGTGTGTGTACTGCTTCTTGTTTTCCTCCATGCCAGAATATGTTTACCATGGGACACAGACCTGCTGTGGTGTCCCTGCTCTGGAGCGGGTTTTCCATGACCTACGCTCCCTTCAGAGGTGTGCCTGCTCTGGCACAGGGCACTTCCTTCCAAGAGTCTGTCTCCAACCACAGCCCCAACAGTGCCACCAGCCACGTGCCCTCTCCTCTCAGCGGCTGCTGCTTTCTTAAATATCTGTGAACAGAGGCACCACATGCTTCTCTGGTTGAAGTGGTGGCACATGGTGGCTTATCTGCAGTGGTTTCCAGGAGATCTGGAACTAGCTGTGACTGGCACATAACCTCCCACCACTACAAGTCACCCCTGTAGCCCCCTCCAACTAAAACCCTGCCAATTCAGCCCAGTGCGAACCACCCTCTGCAGAGTCCATCATGTGCAATCTGTTGGTTAAAGCCTTGCTTTCCATTTCCAGCTTTGTTGTGGGTTTCTTGCTTGTCTCTGGCTAATAGCTCTCTTCATCAGTTTTCCCATGGGGGATATAAAAGTATTTAGCATTTGAGAGAAGTACTGTGAGTCTGAATTCAACAGTGTCTGCAAGGCACTCTGATGTCACAAAATAAGAGTTGTAGTAAGAGCAGAGCTTGCTCCTAATTCAACATCCTGCCTTTGGCAGCAAGCTGGGTTCTTGGACACATGCAAAAGGAATGGGAAGACCACAACTTCCCATGTTCCTGACCCTGGTGTTTGCTGATTTGCTTTCTTGTTGCTTCTGGAGTTCCAGTGGTGAAAATGGGGAGTACGCAAGCACCACAACATTATGCTTTCTGGCTCCGTAGACATCTCATGGAACTAGCAGTCTATCAGTCTGTTAGCAAAAGGTGTAGCTCGTTTTAGTTAAGATAAAACTTAAGACCTGGTTTTAATACATTTTTCTGGGACAGGTCAGTCATCAGCTTTTGTCACTTTTAAGGAATACAAGCTGCTGTCTGCAAGGCAACATAAGCACTTCCAAACAGTTTTTGATTTCTTTAGCTCAACATGGCATCTATCATCATAAATCTGGTTTTCCATTTAAGAGAGCTGAGTATCTTCTCTGATAAGTATCACTTTCCATTCCTCCCATCTCAGGAGAGAAAGGCTAACTATCAGAAGTACTGCTACAGTAGAGCGGTTTTCCCCTGAAAGAACCTATCCTTTGAAAGTGTCTTCTAGTCATGTGGCAGCATCAGGTCATAGAAGAAGCTCTCTGCCATAAATAACACTGTTTCAAAGAGAAAGAATTCTTCCTTCCTTTCCTCAGCATGAGGGGGTGGGGTGTCTTCTTTAGCCGTAGCTGGTGACCTCCTTGTGATGGTCAGAGTTAAGCTAAGAAAAAACAACAAACAGCTGAAAACGTGTTGAGATTTCAGTGTTAAATTTGGAGGTCTGAGCGTGGTGTAATACACTTGAAAGAACAAGGTTCCTGAGGTGCATTTATTTTTTAAAAACTTGTGGGAGGTGTGGACCTCACTCTTTTTCTCACTATTGAGCATTACACGTTAACATAACCTTAAATTATATCTCTAGAGAGGAGAGATAGGGGGGAAAAAGAAAGCTATTTAGTCTCTCCGTGCAAGGTCACAGAGGGCCCAAGAATGTGTGCAGGGCTTGCACGTTCGATATGTACTCTGAAAGTCATGTTCTAATAAAAAATCTGGGTGGCAAACCCAAGTATATTTCGCCTCCATTTGGTCACCCAGTTACAGAACGGTGGGCAGCTCAAGCATTCCAATGGTGCCAATGAGCAGTGGGAAGTGATGTGCAAGGAGGACCCTGCCAAAAATGAAGGGATGCTTCACGTGGTTTGAGAATGTTTGGTGCTCTCACAAGGACCTGTCAAATGCAGAAACCTCTTTCCCAGAGATACGT